AATCGAAAGTAAACTTACAAAAAAAACTTTTAAAGGTTTTAAAAACCGTTAAAATTCGGTTAATAAAAAAAAATTTTAAAGTTTTTTTTTTTGTAGGAAAACAAAGTTGTTTTAAATAAAATTGTTATTAATATGTTCTTTTAATTATTTTTTTTTTTTTTTTATGGTTAAAGTAAAGTCCCTAATCCTGTTTTTTTTTCTGGTTGTTGTTTAAAAAAATTTGATACCTAAATTTGAAAACTCCATTTAAATTATAATATTTATTTTATTTTTATTTCTTGTAATTATATTTTATTCAATAATTTTTTTTTTTTTGCCATTGCTATAAAAAAAAATGAATGTGCGTAAGAAGTATCAAGGTAAAGGGTATGGAATGCTATCATAATTAATTAAATTAATAATTTTGAAATTATAATTTAGTAAGAAAGACTTTTTACGTTTATATTCGATAAACGTCCTTGGATTTTTACCACATGCGATTTATTTTTTGCCAATTATTATTTCATATTTTTTATTAATTATAAATAATTTTCGTTATCTAATAAAATCAAAAACCGATACGGTTTTTAATAATTTGATTTATACCTTTGATAAATATTAATTTATATTCCAATGTTTACAATTCGCATATTTCAAAAATTTTGACGTGGCAGCAACGAACTTTTTTTCTTTTTTTCATGAAAAATATATTAAAGAAACGCGCAAATAAAAAAAATCATAAAACTGTCGTGTGTATGTGTGCTTAAGAAAATATTTAAAGTCTGAGTTTTCATGTATTTTATTAATCATAAAATTTTTTATTTTCATTTGTAATTTTCTAAATAAAAAACAGACTAAAAATTATCCATAGAGATAGAAAAAGTCAAACTTTTTGTTTTGAGGCTGTACTTTTGATCTGTGTTAAGCCTTTGGGTAATGTCTATAAGATTATATGATATTATATTTATTGAAATATTTCTACCGTTAATTTTATTGTTTAGTTTGTAAATTGAAGTATATTAATTATAAAAATGTTCATTTATTGTATTATTTTACAAATTTGAAAAGCAATCCAACGCAATAAAACAAAAAAAAACAATGTTTCGTTATAAAATAAGTTTTTCATTTAAGAAATTAATCATATTATGAACAATCATATCAATTTTTTTTGTTGGAAAAATGAAAATTTAATTGAAATTATTTTCCCATTCCTAATCTAAATTAAATGAATAATATTTTTGAGTTAGCTCTGTTGTTATTATTCTCTTTTTAACTTTTTTATTCTAGCTAAAATTTTGCACAAAAATAACTTTTAAAGAATAATGGATGAAAGCCAAATTATTAGCTTGTAGCCCACACATAAATATTATTTTAGTCATTGGCTAAAAGTTAAACGATTCAGATATCAAACAAAATATATATATTTATAAAATTTTCATTGTTGAAATTAAATAAAAAAAAAAATAAAAAAAAATTGATGTAATGATTAATTTTTTATATGAAAAAATTATTATTATTGTTTAATTTTATGTAACGTACTTATATATTTTTTAAAAAAAAATGTGTTTTCGTTTAAATCGCTCTTTAATTTATTTTTAATAAATATAAATTGTAATAATCATTGTACCAAAAAAAAAAAAAAAAAAGAAAAGTTTTTCTATCTGCGAGACGTTGTTTTTTGTTCGTTCGTTCAAAATTTAAATGAATGCAAATAATTAATTAATGACGTCATTTAATATTTTTGAATTAATACGTGTTTTACAGTGAATAATAAATTTATATGTGATTCCGAAAATAATTAAAAATAACTGAATTTTAAAAAAAAAATTCAGTTAAAAATGAATAATTTACCAAAAAAACCGGCTGGTGGAAACATACATAGAATAAGACAATTTGAATTGGAAAAAGTGAGTAAAATATTACATTATTAATCATGACTTTATTATTAATTCATTAATTTTTAACACAAAATTTAAGTTTTAATTGCTTTTTCATCAACTAAAACTAAAACAACTAAAAAGGGTTTGTCTGTTAATGTATTTAAATATTCTGTCAGAATAGTAATTTATTTACATTATTATAATTTTTATGAGTTAAAATTATATATTTACTTCTTGTAAATATTAATAAGCTTTTTTTTTTTTTTAAACAAAAAATAACATGTTTAGAATACATTGATACATAATTTTTATAATAATACCACCTTATGATTAAGAATATAATTAAAATTTTAGCTTTTAAATGAAATCTATTTTAGTTATAAGTTAAAAATATTTGTATTTAATTATTCAATAATAAAATCAATAATAATTACTTATTATTCAAGGCTTAAAGACTATTTTTATAATAAAGTAGGGTTAGTATTATCTGCTAAATTACTGTGATAGCCATACATTGAAGGACATAATGTAGCTTTTTCTGTATTTTCCCATTGTGAAAAATATGATTTAAAACAATAAATTTTGATTATAAGATTAAAAGAAATTGGTTTTTATATTTAAGTTTAAACCTACTGCTTTGTATTACAAATTGTAAATAAGATGAATAACAATAAAAAATAAACTATTTTTAGTGTTGCATTTGAAATAATTTATGTAGTTTAAGAAAATGTCAATCAAAATGAATGATCAAAGTAGAGGAGTATGAAACATGGCTGTATTTTAATCTGTTTGGTAAAAGAATCAACCATTGTTTTCAATTTAAAAAAAAAAGATTTTTATTAGTGATTTCCATATTTAATGAAAAAAAAATATGTATTTTTATTAATCATTTTAAATTTATTGATTTTCGATTAAGGTGTGTTTGACAGAAGAATTTGATATATTGCAAATCGTTGGAGAAGGATGGTTTGGTAAAATATTGCTAACAGAGCATAAAGCTACCGGTACGGAGATGGTTCTTAAAGCGCTACCAAAACAATACGTGTCATTAGAAGATTTTTACCGCGAATTTCACTATGGACTTCACTTAGGAGAGCATAAAAATATAATTACCACCTACGATGTTGCTTTTGAAACTCCAGGTTTTTATGTATTTTCTCAAGAATATGCTCCGATAGGTGATTTAACTTCAAATGTTTCTGAATTTGGAATCGGCGAACAAAATAGCAAACGTGTAGCGAAACAGGTAAAAGTTTTTTTTTTGTAAATTAAAATAATGACTGTTTACATATATCTATGTGAATATGATAAAATTTTTATTTTAGCTTGCGTCAGCTGTTGATTACTTGCACTCCAAAGACTTGGTACACAGAGATGTAAAATTAGACAATATATTGGTTTTTAAAACAAATTTTTCTAGAATTAAAGTTTGTGATTTTGGAGAAACCAGAAAGGCTGGATCACAAGTTCTCAGAAGAAACGAATGGCTACCATATGCTCCTCCAGAAGTTTTAGCTACCAAAGTGGACGAAACATACACGTAAGATAAATATTTTATTTCAATAACTATAATAATAAATTAAAGAAAATTTTTACAAGTAAATTGAATTTAAAAATGTAATTATCAGTCAGGCATGCCTTTCATTATAATATCATACACTAATTTTTTTTTGTGAGCAAATAAAAATAAAATTTTAATTGCTAATGAAACCGTAATTTTTGTCAGGGCTCATAAATCTCACGATGTTTGGCAGTATGGGATTGTAATATTTGTGTGTTTAACGGGTTGCCTTCCATGGCAAAAAGCAGCGGCCGATGATCCACGATACGTTCGTTACTGCCAGTGGCATGGAAGTAATGGTGTTATGATGCAAGTTAGTTTAAAAGTAATTTTTTTTCGAATCAGTATGATTGCGAAAAAAATTTTTGGGTCGAGGCTATTCAGTGAGTTGCAGTAAACTACCGTTACCAATTTCGCAATTTCTTGTTTGGTTTTCCATTTGCTGTCACTTACAACAGTGTTTTTTTTTTTGTTTTGTTTTGCAGGTCCGAAAACCAAAAATGTTCAAATTACTATCTTCCAAGGCGCAAAAAATGTTTAGAAAGTATTTAGAATTAAAGGAAGAAAAGCGACCTCAAAATTTATCTGATTTAAGCCAATATCTAGAAGGTAGATGGCTTGCGAAATCCCCAAACGATAGAAGCAATAGCGGTGGGTCATTTATTATTTAAAAATAATTTGTTGTAAAAACATTTTTTTTAATACTCCTTTATCTACTGTTTTAAATTATTTTTTTGAACAAAAGAAAACGCAGAAGAAGCTGGTTTATGTCCTTCCATGTACAGCTATCACAGCAGTCCGGAAGAAAAAAATAAACTTTTGATGACGTTAGCAGAGTACGGAATTGAGACCACTGTCGATAGGACAGCAAAAAAAGATAGAATCAAACAGTGGATACAAAGCAGTATAATAGAGGAAGACGAAGAAGAAAAAGAAATTGATAAAACATTTGATGAAGAAAATTTAAATTTAAATAATGTTATTAAAAATCGAGAAGAAGAATTCAGTGAAGACGATATTAATATCACTCCGTTATCTTCTCGAGTAATTTCTAATATCCGATGACGTTCCATTTTTTCTTTTTTTATTTTTTGGATAATTAATTATGAGATAATATAGTAACTTCCACGTTTTTAAATAAAACAAGCATTAAAAACAAGTTTTTTTTTAACTTAACAAAAAAAAATTCATAAACCTATAATAAACATGAAAATAATAATAATGAAAAATATGCTTAATGATATCAGGCAATTATAATTATTAGAAGGTGTAATTAAAAAAAATTTTTCTTTTTGGGTTTTTTTTACACTTATAAAATTTTCTTTCACGCGGTTAATTCTGTATTGCAAATAAACATTAATTAATAATAAATAATTAAAAGAAAATTAGTATTATTATTTAATAAAATAAATAATTAATAATTAAAAGAAAATTCGAGTTTAAAAGATAAGATTTTGCATATGATGCTTAAAGAAACTCAACCGAATTATATTATTTTTTTTTTTTTTCGAA